CATTATTTACAATAGCCAAGAGGTGGAAGCAACCTAAGTGCCCATCAACAGATGAATGGATAAAGAAGATGTGGTATATATATACAATGGAATACTACTCAGCTGTAAAAAAGAACAAAATCATCCTATTTGCGACAACATGGATGGACCTTGAGGGAATTATGTTAAGTGAAATAAGCCAGATAGAGAAGGACAATCTCTGTATGACTCCACTCACATGAAGAATTTAAAAATGCAAACAAAGAGAACAGATTAGTGGCTACCAGGGGAAAGGTGAGGTTGGGGGTGGGCACAAAGGGTGACGGGGTGCACTTACAATACAACTGGCAAACAATAAGGTACAAATGAAATTTCACAAGATTGTAACCTATCATTAACTCAATAAAAATTAAGCTAAAAAAAAAAGACTTGAATTATAAGACACACTGAGAAAAGCAACATTTAAGTGTTTCCTGATTTAAGCAGATTCTTTCCTGAAATGAGACAGGTGGAAAGAGAGCATTGTATGTACCTCGGGTGTAGGGAAGGAAGGAAGGTGCCATGGAAAGGAATCCTGGCGCTGGTGTGGTAGATGATTTTTACCCACTTCACAATTTGCTTGCCCTTTGTTAGGAGACATTTACATTGTAAAGGAAATCTCCATCTGTAAAGGTGTCTCCCTCTCTGTACCAGGAAGAAGGGGGGATGACCTTATCTCTAGAAACTCTTAATCAATGCCAAAGGCAAGGACTTAAATCTGCATCTTGTTTACTGTACTTGTGTGGTAATCTCCCATGATTGACTCCCCCTCCACCCCCAAAATCCTCCTTTGCCTTTAGCTGAAGATGATATTTAAGGCGGTGGCTTCAGCCATTTTGGCGAGTTGCTCAGCTTGCCTAAGCCCCTCCCATGTATATATGTTATAAAGCTTTGTTTAATTTTCTCCTGTTAGTCTGTCTCATGTGAAGTTAATTCCTTCTTTGGCTGGAAGAACCCACAGTGTGTAGAGGAAATGTCTTCCTCCCCTACACCAGCAATCATAGCCGTCTAATGACGCAATGATTGTTTTGAAAGGTAGTAAGCTCCCTATCACCACAGGTATTCAGGAAGGGATATTTAGAAAGGTATCAAGTATTGCCAGATAAAATACAGAATGCCCAGTTCAATTTTAACTTCAAATAAAACCACAAGTACTTTTTTAGTATAAATAGGTCCTAAATGTTATATAAGACAAACTTGTACTAGAAAAGTATTTGTAGTTGATCTGAAATTGGAATTTAACTAGGTGCCCCCTATTTTTATTTGCCAACTCTAGCCACCCTGAGTATGGGAAGAGCAATCTGGGCTATGATTTTACCGTTCTTTTGAAGATTATAGGAAGGTATGCTGACTGAGACTGAGGCTGTTGTTGGTCTAAATGAAAAACATCATTTTTCTAAAGAAAAACTGCCGTCCCGAGTCTCTTAGAGCTAATACAAACTACCCAGCTGTTCCAGCCGGGGCTGTCATTACAGAGCTCAATAAAATGGATCCTCTCCAGCGCTGGGGGATTGAGAGCTGCAGGGCTTCCTCACGCAACAATGAGAACTTGTCGCTTTTGTTTAGTAAACATAATGCCTGACACCAGCCGCTCCCCTCGGCTTGTTTATATCTGGCTGCACTGCCAGCCAGGGGCAAGGCCTGTGGCTCCATGGTCAGGGATCTTGTTAGAGAGAAAGCAAAGACTATAGTTGTTCCCTGGAGAAAAGACTAAGAGCCAATCAGAAAGGAATTCATGCAAAACCTCCCTGCTTCCCCCCAAGACCCACATCCCTGCCCGTGCCACCTGGTGGGAGAGGAGGCTTCATCATCTGGCCTCTTTCCCTGGCCCCCACCCTGAGCAGTGTGCCCTCAACTCAAAATCGCATCTGTTTCTCGGCCTGGCGGGCCCTCTGTCAGCTGGCCCACCACATCGCCACATTAAAGAATCCTAAACTGAAGCAGAAAGTATTGGGACGTAATTCTGAATGTCCTGCCCTTCATCAGTTTAAGCCAGATGCTTGCCTCTCACCAGCTCAGCCCACCGAGGGAGGCTGACAATAACCCTCAGTTAAATCATTAATGCTGTAAAAGCTTCCAAAACCTCGTGGTCTTAACAAGGGAAAACGAACATGAAGCAAGCCTGGAAATCCTAGCCCGTCTTCCCTGGCTCTCCCCACACCCAGAGCCCCGTTTAAAACTGGTTCTTTGCACCTGAGTGTCATTCCTCAGAGGACCCGTGAGAGAAAGTGGCATTGCCTCTGGTGCTGGGGTAAGGCAACACCACCCAGCTACTGCTGTGTCAGTCCAGCTCTGCATTTCTCCACAACATCCCAAAGAACAAAGAGGGTGGCAGAGGAGGACACGCCTGGCTTTGGGAAGAGGCTAAAGAGAGAGGGGAGGGAGAGCGGACCCATTTCAACCTGCAAATGGCCAAATCCATTCATTAACTAGCAGAATGGGAAGCAGGGGAAGCTGATTTGTTCCGAACATGTATCCAGAACCCCCATTCACCTGCTCCAAAGCCAACCAATGTTGAGCAGCCAGAGTCTAAACCCATCAACTTCATGGCTCAGACCAAGCCATAGAGCAGAGCCGAAAACAGACTGTATTCATCTATCTATTCAAATAGCCAGCTTGGTTGGGCTGCCACGGGGATGGCTCTGGGTAGCTGTCTCATAGAAAATAGCTTCCTGTCTGTGGCTCTGGAGAGGCCAGGGAGCCAAAATTCCAACTTTGTTCCATCAAGCACCTGAAAATGGAAAATGAGTTAGAAAGATGTTTGAAGAGTATGCTTTTGTGCTTTGGGGGGACCTACAAACTCAACAGGAATCCATGTGGGCTGATTTCCCAGAGGACGCCTCAAAGAAGCATTTATTTTAAGACCATGATAGTGCCATGATAACTATGTTTCTTTTTACATCGGTGCCAATCTTCCTCCATTTTGTATGTGGGATGCTGCCACAGCATGACTTGACGAGACGTGTGGAGGTCCACACCCAGGATCCAAACTGGTGAACCCTGGGCCGCCAAAGTGGAGCTCACAAACTTAACCACTATGCCACCAGGCCAACCCCAATGATGACTACATTTTATCCAGCTTCAGCCAGGCCCATGGAGAAAGACCCAGGTTGGGGCACCTACTCCCCAGTTGCTTCTCTAGTGATACTGAGGTTGGCTAGGAAGCTCCTTGTCCCCATCCTGATTTGCTATCCCCTTCCCCTCACCTCCACTCCCACCCCACATGCACACACAAAAAAAAAAACCCTTACTTTCCACTTTTCCCCTCCTAAGTCATCTTAGCCAGTGTGAAAATATGGTCATGTCACCATAAAATGGGAACTGGTGTCCCACTACCTCAGCTTACCACCATCTGTGCCAAAATTAAAACAAATGGTTTTAAAAAGAAAATCAAGGAGGCCAGCAGCCCAGTGATGTAGTGGTTAAGTCTGTGTGCTCTACTTTGGCGTCCCAAGGTTCGCTGGTTCAGATCCTGGGCGTGGACCTCCACACCACTCACCAAGCCATGCTGTGGTGGCCTCCCACATACAAAATAGAGGAAGATTGGCACAGATGTTAGCTCAGTGACAGTCCTCCTGAAGCAAAAAGAGGAAGGTTGGCCAAAGATGTTAGCTCTGGGGCAATCTTCCTCACCAAAAAAAGAGAGAGAGAGAGAGAGAATCAAGAGAGAAAGGAGTAAGTGACAGGCGACCAAGGGTTAAAAAGGGCAGGATGAAGAGCAAGGAAATGGGTGAGAGGGAAATGGAGAGGAAGTAGAAAGAAAGAAGAAAGGATGGGGAGGGAGGCTGGCAGAGGAAAGAGAGAATGATAACTGTTCTCCCTCACCTCATCTTTCCTGAGAAGAAAGTTTCACTCATAAAAGGTGGAGATATCCCCAACTCTCGGGCTGTCCAGGGGGCTGCAGTGTTCCCGCCTCCAAGTCCCAGTAGGAACAAAGGGGGCAGGAGATGAAGGGGCACCCTCCATGCAGTTCCAGGGGAAAGGGGCCATGAAGGGGCCAGGGAAGGGCACTGGGGGAACCCAAGGCCCACTCAGATATGGGTCACAGGGGCCCGGGGCATTTACCCACACACCCAGGACAAGTGGTGACTCGGAGTAGGAGGGACGAATGTCATTTTCTAGGCTACCTCCTTCCCAGGTCTCATATTTTTTAGGGGTCTTTTCTTGTTCTCTTCACTGACTTCCTGCCATTAGGATCTCCCAGTATGTTTTGCCTCATTGGGACACTGCAGGAGACCCCCACTGGCAGTCCCTTTTCAAGAGTTGTAGAAAACTGGAGTAAAGAAAGACATCGAAGAAGGCCAGCATGGAACAGCCCTGCAGTCCATGTCCTTCATCTGAAGAGAAGAATTCAACAGTAGGGCTCCCAGTAGACTCAACCCCATCCCTACCCCAAATTGCTACCCTAAGCAAAGTGCCACCCTCACAGAAATTCCACCATTTACCGTTTATCAGTTACTAATGTTTTATTGTGAATTGATGTGTCTGACTGCACAAGAAGGGAAAGAGGTGTATGAGACCCTCCCCACCAAGAGGTTCGAGGGCCTTGGGCCATACTTGTGCACCTATAAGTGCCTATACACACACATTCATATGTATCATACATTCACACAACCTTTCCAATTAGTATGGCTATGAACTTAGTGGTGTGGAACAATCACTTATGATGCTCATGAATTCTGTGGTCAGGGATTCAGAATAGAGTGGGGACAATGTCTCTGCTCCATGATGACTAGGCTCTCAGCTGGAAGACCCAAAGGCTGGGAGCTGGAATCATCTGGAGCCTCACTCATTCACATCCCTGGCAGTTGATGGGGGCTGATGCTGAGATCTTAGGTGGGTATTGTCAGCCACAACACCTCAGCATGTCCTCTCCTTGTGGCCTGGGCTTCTACATGGTGGCTGTGTTCCCAGGGTGACCACCCCCTGATAGAAAGCCCATCAGAAGCCTTATCCCTTTATGACCTAGCTCAGAAGTCACACAGCTCCCCTCCTGCCACATTCTATTCACCAAGGCAGTCACAGAGGCCCTCCCAGTTGCAAGGGTAGGTGATGATGCCCAAAACTATGTCTCTGGCCCATTCCTCTCTCCTAAATTCTGGATCTGATCACCCAATGGCCTATTAAACATGTCCACCTAATTGGTTATCAAACTTCCTCCAGGTAACGTAGGCTCAACACATCCCATGCTGAACTCACCGTCTCTGCCCTGTTCCTCCTCCTGAGGGAAAGTTGTTCTTCCAGGTCACAGAGCTATTTGTTCTATTCTCTCTCTGGACATGTATCTACCTCTTTTTCTGCCCAAAATATGTGCTTTCCCAAATATTTCGTGCAGGCCATTCATTTCTTATGTCCATATTAGATATGGAAAAATCAAATATCATCAGGTAAGGATGGTGATCATATTCCAAAATATCAGGGAGGTTTTTGCAAGGGAAAAAATTTATTTACATAATTCTGAGGCTATGCCACAGGAAACTTGGTGAAGTAGAAAAATGCCACTATGGAAAGGTGGAATCAGAAAGGTCATGGGAGAGAAGGTAAGGAATAAGAGGAGGAAGACTTGGGGTCGGGGGTGAGGGGGCGGAAAAGAGTAATTATCAAAGTCTCTCCACATCTTCAGACCTCACTCGCATAAGGAAACAGCTCCTGGAGAACCAGACATGCCTGTAATAAAGGTCTCACTCCCAGCCTCGTACGTTTTTCTGAAACAGTCACTCTCTCATGAGCGCTACTGATAGTTCCCTTCTTTGGGGTACCTGTCTCAGATCACCCTTGCTAGTGAAACATTCAACTCAGACTCCCAGGCCATCAACCAAGGATTGGCAAACCGCAGCCCAGACCAGATCCAGCCTACCACCTGTTTTAGTATGGCGCCCAAGCTAAAAATGGTTTTTACATTTTTAAATGGTTGGACAGCATCTAAACGAGAATAATATCTCATGACACATGAAAATTATATGAAATTGAAATGTTAGCATCCATAAAGTTTTGTTGGAACACCTCCATGCCAGTTTGTTTGCATATGATCTATGGCTGCTTTCACGCTACAAGGGTAGAGTTGAATAGTTGCAACAGAGACCATATCATCCATAAATCCTCAAATATTTTCTATCCAGTCCTTTACTGAAAAAATGTACTAATCTCTGCCTTAAATCCACCCAAGTTACATTTCTCCCCTCCCTCAACTTCCTTGGAAGAAACCATACAAACCCTCGCTATCTATTAGACTCTCTTCCTATCCAGCCCCAGCATCCTTAGTTGGGTCAAATGGGTTATGTACAGCCAATTTACATTTACCACTCTTGTCCACTTTGCCCACAAAGCCCTTTGCAATCGCCCGTGCCTACACTGGACTTTTTCTTTCTCTGAAATCCACCTGTTGTACTGCTAGCTGGTGTGACCATTTACTACATTACAGTCTTTATGTTTTGTTTTGTTAGCACTAGAAATTCCATGAAGTAGGTTCTCTGTGTTGCTCAATTTAATATACATGGTTTGAGCTCTTGGTTTGAGCAAAGCTCTGTAGAGAATTTGAAGAAGCTTAAGACACAATTTCTGTTTCCATGGATTTATAATCTAGTGAAGGGAAAACAAATTAATTTTTATGAGGTGCACACACATGTACACACTATATATATATATTCATGGATATGAGAGTTCAAAAGAGGGAAAGTTCTCACTCACTTGGGACAGAGAGAGTGGGAGCCAAACCAAGAACCAGCATGCACCTTCAGGGGTCAACAGAGGGCAGGGAAGTCGACAGGAATTATGAACCCCAGGGAGACAGAAGTCACCCCTGAGTCAGCTACCCCTTCCCACCTAGGGAGTTTCCTTCAGGTTAGAAACTTGGAGGGTGCAAGCTTCCTTTCAACAGGAGAGATGTTTCCTTGCCTTGCCAGATGTATCGTACAGGACCAAGGGCTAGAGCGAGGGCCCGAGATTGACAAATCCAGGGAGTGAGACTTTGGCTGCAACATAAAGAAAAACTAATATTCAGAGTTGTTCAAAGATGACACAGATTGCCTTAAGAGAATATGAGTATCCTCCCACTAAGAGAGATTAAATATACACTAGATGCTCATCTAAAGAGCATCCAGGCAATTGTTGGACTGGCCCCTGTAATCTAAAGTATGATTCACAGACCAGCAGCATCTACATCTCCTGGGAGTCAGATGCTATACAGATTCTCAGCCCTCACACTAGAATTACTGCATTAGGATCTCTCAGACTCTAACTTAGAATTAACTAGACCTCCAGGTGATTCACAGATACAGCAAACTTAGAGAAGCATGAACTAGACACCTTTTGAACTTCCTCCCAACCCTGAAAACCTCACCTTCAACATTAGGAGCTGGTACACCTTGAGAGACTAGACATTAGTAATGTCATTATGGATAACATCTTTGCTGCTGCTTTAAAAGAGATTCACCCAAACTACCTATGCACTCTCAGATATTCAGTATCATTAGGCCCATCCTGTTGGCAGGGACATCAAGTTTGAGGACTAAAGAGATTAGGGAAATACCACAAATAAGACTTTCTAAATGGCGTGCTGTTACAGACATTTGATTTTTCATATGTGCTCGATTCCAACAGGCCATCACGCTAATGACTCCAACCAGTGCTTTCTTGGTTCTTACCAGACCCATCCTACATGCTCAGTCACAGCTAAGAGGGGTCCTGTGGCCTGTTCTGATCCAACTCCAGGAGAAAGACGAGTTCCTGGGAGCCTGTGCGATCCTAACAACCGACATCTTGGGGCCTACCGCATGTCAAATCCCATCCGAGAACAGCTCCCCACTCTCAATATCAGAAAGAGAAAGGACGGCAGAGGACTCGTGCGATCCCTTCCCAGTCTCCCCACCCCCACCCACATCATATTCTGCACACATGCTGAAGCATTAGCATCGGCTGATTTGGAAGGAATATTGGAAATGAAGTGATAGCAGAGTAAATGTCAATGCATTCAGTGTGACACCGTGAGCACCAGATCTTAAACAGCTTCATCATTGTGGCATTTACTGTATCCTGAAATAATATTAATCCCACTGTTGTCCTTCTTGATGGAATCATCCATGAATATGGTTTATGGGCCTGGCCAAAGTGATAATAGGTTAAAAGAACAGCCTATCCAGTGTTCCACTAAATTAAGGTCGCTTCATGGAATTTAATGAAACAAGTGCTGCATGGGGTTTTCAAAGGACGTTCTTGTAATTCATGTCTATTTAGGGCTCCTGATAACCAGAAACCTAATTTCTTAGAATAAAATAGCTTTTCAAAAGCCTGGTCATATAGAAGAATAAAAAAGAAAAAACTTTAAAGGGCAATAATAAGCCCCAACTGTAATATTTTGTTATTTCAAATCCAAAGTTTAAGCAAAAAAAAGTTGGGAGGGAGGCAATGAGACATTCTGAATAAAACCAAATATGAAAATTAATCAGATTCGTGCGTCATTCTGCAGTTGAGTGCTGAAATAAGGATTTTGTCCTATCCACGCCCTTTAGTCACATACCTAGGGAAACAAAAAGATCTTGGAATACAGAGAAGACCACAGCACACTGGAAATGATGAGGATTGAAAGAACTGTTCAGACTTTGAGAATGGCAGGGGGAAGACAACAACAGATGTTCCAGAACACCTAATTCTATTTCACTTGCCAAGGCTAGACAGGGCTCAAGAGTTTAAACCTTCTCTGAAAAAGCCATAAACTTAGACTCATGTGCCTGGAAGAATAGGAACATTCTATTGTCCCTGCCAAACACCAAGCCAAAAGTATGAAACAATCACAGATATTTATTTTGCGTCCAATATGGGTGGTAGGACATTCCATCTATGTTTTAGGATGAAGGCAAATCCCAAAGGGATTTATCGAGTTCTTTCTGGACTGTGCCTTTTTCTTACTCTCTATCACCAAAGACTTCACTTTTTTTCTGTTAGGGTGGAGGTTGCAAACTCAAATACCAACAGGAGTCAGACAGCTATCTTAAATAGGTGAAGTGCGCTAGGTGAAATGGGCAATAAGACTGGCTGGGACTGTGTTCAACTGCAGAATGCTTGTCCCGCTGATAAAGAGAAACCAACATTGAGCTCGGGACAGGTGCTTCCCCAGGGGAACCTAGACTTAGTGTTATTGTAGTTTCTGATTTTTCAGAAGATTCCAGAAACTTCCATTTTTTACGTGAAATAACCTATTTCTAAAGCAGCACAACTTTCCTTTTTCTTTTTTTTAAAGACACCATGCTTGTGGCTCTAACTGGGCTCACAAGTCAAGAGTCTGCCACTCTTGTCAGGACAGCAAGCAGCAATGTCATTTAGGCTTTGAAACACTGGATTGGAAAAAAGAAAGCAGTATTAAATATAAACCCAAAAGGTATGTATAACAACAACGCAAAAAGCAATCAATTGATTTATCACATTAAATAAGGAGAAGTCACTCCTTTGCTATCTAACCCACTTTCTCTGCACTGGGCCTATTCACGGTCAATTTTCAGTTCATTTTGCTTTTTAGGCAAATCTTTGTAAAGCACCTGAGATCAGCGTTATTTTCTCTACTTCAGGTAGGTGGAAGGGTCTGCAGCCACCCATCACCTTCCGAACGACTCTTGCTGTGTGTCTGCGTAAAAAAGTCTGCCTTCCCTCCTCTGAAGGGCCGAAGTCTATTCTGAGCCGCTCTTTTTCACTATCAATTCGTAGGGATGTCTCTCTCAGTCGATTTCAGATATCTCTCAAGACAAAACTGGGTTAATTACCCAGAAAGTTGGCTGTCTTTTAAGGGCCCCATTTACTTCGACCCAGAAGACACATACATAATATATTCAGCACAAGCTCCCAGGGCAGCCTCCCCAGTCCCCAGCTCAAGCATGGCAGGACAACCCAGTTTTTCTGTTCTAAAAATGCAAGAAGGTATGGTCTGCCCACAGACAAGTGCCCAGCAGCCCCCTGGGAAGTTGTCCCCTAACCATAAGCCAAGTGGAGGGCTGTAATAAGAGCTAACACTAACCCCCAGCAGTGGGCAAGAAAGAAGAAAATGGCAAAACCTGCAGCAGCCTTGCAAGCCCTCAAGCCTTGGAGCAGAACAATATCTCCAGCTATCTGGATTTTCCAGGACAAAGCACAGTGTGAACGTACAAACCAAGGGCCTGCCCTTCACTGCATATGGCCAGGCTCAAACACGTCTTTTCCCTGACGCAGTGGGTCCCCACAGCATCCTTCCATCTCCTTCTCCTATAAGCTCTTAGCAAGTACAATCTGTACCACGTGACACCTTGCCTCACTCCATTATTTAACTCTTTCTGTATCCATGCCTGAGCTGAATTATGAGCTTCTTAAAAATAGGGTGTATTTGTGATATCGCTTTATATTCACGTAGAGCAAACACTGAGCCTTGAGTGTAAGCTCAATTAATATTCGTGGAAAGAAGGAAGGAACTGTCCACCAACATATAAAAATCAAACTCAGCCACAGAAGAAAATTCCATTGCATAAAGCACATAGTCAGTAGCAGGAAAACTGGCACACTACCCATCAATTAACGAATACTTTAAAAAATGTGATTTTTCAGGCTGACCTTCTAAGCTCATGGTCACAATAACCTGGAGTGAAATGGTGATACAATTTCTACACAATCGTGTGATATCTATTGCCTTAGTAAATTCTTAGAATATTTATTTGAATCTAATCACACCAACAAAACAAACCTACTAAGATAAGAATATATCCCCTGAAATAGGTACAAATAACTGTCGCTTGACACAAATATACATTTATCCAACAATTGTCCACTGGTTTCTAGTGAATCTAGAAGAAAGTCATTAATGACGTGACTTTTTTGGATTCCCAAAATCAAAAAGATGGAGTCTGATTTGGCAAATATGAGAATATCTTTTTGGTACAACCCAGCTGAGTCTCTGAGGATCCAGCTCAATACGGAACAACCTGGTCTCCAAAGATTGGTGCAGGCCAGCACAGGCCTGCCCTCTCCTCTGCCACCACACTGGCTCCATCTCTCTTCCCCTTGATGCTGGTCACTGTGCTAACCTCCCTGCAGGGTTCTCTCTCCTCAGTTTCTGCTTTCTTACTTTTGCTCCAATCAGACTGCACTATTCACAGTTCCCTGGACAGTGCCCGCCCCTCTCAGGCTTAATGACTACGCTCAGTCTATTATTTCCTCTTACAATGCTTTTTCCTCTCTTTTCCTGACAACGCTCCATTCCTGTCCCCACTCCCATTTCTCGAAGTCCAGCATGAAAGTTATTTCACCTGGGAAATCATTCCTTATCATCCCAAAATCCCCACAAAAGTCTATCTTGCACCTCCACTCCCAAATATTTCTTCATCCATAGCACTTACCTCATTATACCCGAATTCCAGGCATTTGTATTATTTCATCCCCTTACTAGATAGAAAGCTTTATAGATGATCATAAGGGTATTGTTAATCTTCAGAGATCAGAACCATCTATTTTCCTTATCTCCTGGCTCCAGGGACCTAACACTGTGGCTACTTAAAGAGATAATTAATAAATATTTATTGACTGACATTGAATTCCATCATTGTATCCCTCTATTAGATATGAACAGGCTGAGAGGTCTTGGGAGTGGAAGAAATAAGAATGGAATTCCATTTCCTGACTTGAATTCTTCTGCCCAAGACAGGAACACCAGAACTGACCTGATGAAGCTCGTGCCTCATTTCATCCTCTACTGACAGTAGAGGCCAGAGTAAGAGGCTGTGCCTGCAAGAAGAACACAGAGTCTCTGGAGAGGGGTGAGTGGCTCGCCTAGAAAGGCTTCTGTAGCAACAGAGACCTTGCCTCTGGGTACCAGAAAAATGTCTACAACATCATCCCCTGGTATAGAGGTGGAGTGGGCCTCTATTATTTTTGCCAAGTCATATCCACTTTCTTCCCTTTACTTTTCTCCCCAGCACACGGTTCAGGTGCTACCATTGCCCTCTCTGCCCAGGCTCCAGGATGGATAAATAGGCCTGAAGCCAAATCTGGACAAAAAAGTCAACCCTAGGACATGCTGAAACCAGCAGGAAAGAGTGACTCTCCGTCTACTGGGGTTGCCAAGCTGGTGGAACATACACCTGGAGCTCCTACTGGGCACTTTGTCTACCAGGTGAGGAGAGCCCACCTAAGAATGAATGCAATACCAAGGACAGCACAGCTGAGAGGCAGAGAAAGAAACCATGTCTTTATACCCTCATTGAGTTCTTGGGTGCCGCCCTCCATGCCTGAATTCAGTGCAACTTGGACTTCCCAATAATATAAGCTTATACATTCTCTCTGTTTTTCCCTTTTTTTTTTTTTTTTTTTTTTTTTTGCTGAAGCCATTAGGTTTCCATCACTCACAATCAAAAGGGTGAAGAATTCTGGCTGAAGTCATGAGAAGCACCCTGCACTACGAGCAGGCTGCCTGACTTCAGTTCCCTCTTCACTGTCTGTGTGACCACGAGAAAGATCCTGGGACTCTTTTTTCATCTGGTTATATGAAGCCATGGAAGTATTTGATTCCTGAAGTTCCTTTCACCCCTGACATTCTCTAGGTCATTGTCTGGACTTGACATTCTAGAGCCGTTCACTAACTGGAAGAATAATTTTACTACTGACCTGCCATGCTGTGATAATGCCCAATGCTTCCGTGCTGTTTTCTTTATCTTTGATCTCAGTTTTGCTCTTGACAATATGGGAACAGTATGAAGCTCTCATTCCCTCTCTGGAGGACTTTGGAATCCCAGCGCTGGGCTGGCAAAGTCATTTAAAACTAGCGTGGTTCCAGTCAATGAAATGGTGCTGGCCCCGGTGGCCCAGTCCTGATCATCTAGAACGTGAGAAGCAGTGTTCATTTAATTAAACAAAGAGGCCATTAGATGAGGCGGCTCTAACGCTGTGGCAGCCAACACAAGCAAACCCAAACCTAAGCCTGTAAATCCCCCAAGGTTACAAGATGGAAACCTGAGGACAACCAATCGCAAACAGCCAAGGAAGCTTTAAGCTACAGCCAATCAATCATTTCTTCTCTTTGCTTCTGCACCTTCTCTATATGTCTTCTCCTGGCTCCTGTTGGCAGAGCGCTCCTAACTGCTTCCGGCTTGGCATTGCCTGATTCCACTTGATTTTTTTTCTTTTTTTTTTGTGAGGAAGATTGGCCCTGAGCTAACATCTGTTGCCAATCTTCCTCTTTTTGCTTGACGAAGATTGTCTCTGAGTTAACATCTGTGCCAATCTTCCTCTATTTTTCATATGTGGGATGCCGCCACAACATGGCTTGAGGAATGATGTGTAGGTACACGTCCAGGATCCGAACCCACAAACCCCAGGCCACCAAAGCAGAGCTCACAAACCTAACCACTATGCCACCAGGCCGGCACCTCGAGTTGATTTTTTGCTCAAATAAACTCTTAAAAAGTTTAGTATGTCTTCGTTTATCTTTTA